ATATATATATATATATATATATATCAAACATAATTTTTAAAAGCGTGAGGTGAATAATTTCTTGGTAAAAAGTAATTTTCTTAAACTCCATATAAAATTATAATTATTTAATATATATATATATATATATATTATATATGGAACACATTTTGACTAATTTTGTCAAGTCTAAAATTTAACTCTTAAAGAAAATAGTTATAAATTAAAATTAATTATAAAATAAATCAATTTTACAGTTATGAATTATTTTTTTATCAGAGATATTAATTAAATTTAAATAAAAAATGTTATAAAATATAATAATAAAATCATTTATATTGATAAAAAAATGGATAATAAAATATGTATATTAAAATAAAAATAATGACAAACTCTTTTAGAAAAGCAATAATCTTATTAATAGTTCTAGATAATATAAGTTTAATATGTTTTCTTTCATTTAAAAAGATTAATTATATTTGTTTACCAAATTTAACTTTTGAATTTCTTATTAAGAAAAGTATGATGACATTTACTTACTATATATATTTTACCAAATGAATTACGTGGCAATATGAAATAAAATTATTTTACAATATAAAGTTATTATTTGTATATTTGTAGACGATAAATTCATTACATAAATCATATTTAATAAGGGTTAAAAATGTGGTAGTTTTCGAGGTTAGTTTTTGAGGACTAAAACCAAAGTTTTGAGGACTAAAACTAGAGTTTCGAAAAGAAAAGAATGAGGACCAAATTGTACCTTATTTTAAAAGAGGGACGAAAATTAGAAACGGCCAATAGTTTAGGGACTAAAAACATATTTAACCCATTTAATAATGTATCATTTTAAAATAATAAAATTCGTTCCATAATAATTGGATGATAGATACATTTAATTTAACTTTGGAAGATTTATGTAATAATAAATAAATTAATGATACGTAAGTCATGTTGTGGTCAAAGATGTTGTTAGAACCAGTGAGTCACGCAACAAGTTAATTGAAGCCGAGCTCCAAATATGCCAAAATCAAGAAATTAGGGTTTTCTTCTCCCGTGCAATTCCCCTTTCAGAGACTATGGTTCCACAGACAGTGATAACGCAAGTCTCCGATTCACGTGGCGTGATTTCAAATGGTTCAACCCACGGGTTCTACGATTGGCTATTCGAATGTCACGGGTTCTGGCACAATGCCATTCTCATCATTCCCTCCTTCCTCTTCGTCCTGTACCTGATACTTCAAGCCAGACACAGCTTCCCCAAACTCTCTCTTTCTCGCTCATACATCATCCTTTCGTATAACGCCTCGCTCTGGCTCGCCACACTTCTCAATCTTGCTTGGTGCTTTTTCCAGGTTTGTTCTGATTCATGTATAAAGACTGCTCCGTTCAGACGGCAATTACCAATTTCTATACCTTTTTCCAGAAAATGATTTTATGGAAGTGTTCTTTTTCTTCAGATTTCTGTGTAGCAGAGTGGTGAATTAAGCTTATAGATTAGTTCATAAATATAGCAAAGGTTGTTGGCAGAAATGTTTCTTTATTTGAGTGTCATACCTAAGGATTGGGATTTGACTGTACTATTTCTTACTTACTGTCTTGACTAGGGATAGAAAAAGCCATGATTTCTTGTTACAATAAATAAACAAATAAAAAGTTCATATAAATTAAAGGTAAACTTTTGGAGAAGCTACTTGATTTTAATTTAATTTGATTTATTTATTTTTCCTTAGATTCAATTTAAAAAAAATGATTTATTGTTTCTTTTCCCCTGACCTCTACCTTTAAAAAAAAAGTCAAATTTTGCTGTATTTTTCATTCCCGAATTTTAATTATTAATTAAATTAATAGAAAGTTGTAGTGAGTATATTATTTCTACGATCAACACAAGTACTCATATTCTACGATAAAGTCTGAAAAAGATAAAAAAAATTCTTTTCAATCTTTATCAAACTTTTAGATTCGTTGGTTGAATTTGAAGTTATGTTAG